CGCTGAATAACAATTAAAACTAGAACTAATAATAATAATAATAATGTTTATTAATCGGATAAGATATAATATATGTACAAATAGAAAAAATTATAAAAAGGCAGTTCCGATTAAAGAGGGTCATGTCAGGTCGACCAAGTGACCAAGGCCCCTTTGTCGCACTGTTTTTCAATGACCCTCAGCAAAATAATAAGACAAAAATTGAAAAATAAAATTTAAATGAAGTCAAGCCGATTATAAGCGCAAAAAAAAATTAACAAACTTAAAATACCCAATAAGAAGCATACTTACATATAACAAGCATACATATATAAATCTCAATCTCTGTCAGCCCCCAATCCTCCCCCCGGCTATGAAACCATTTCAAAATAAACAAAGAAGAAGAGTGCTCAGCCAACTTGCCGCTATTAATAAAATAAGAACTTATTTATGGCACGCCATGGAAGCCCTAAGTATTGTTTGTGATATAAGAAATAACCTCGGCCGACTTCGAAGACGTCGGCCGCTCCAAGCACCATGATCAATACAATAAATCTAATTTGCTTGAAATTTATGTACAAAATCATCTCGGCCGACTTCGAAGACGTCGGCCGCCTTAAAAATTGGTCATGATACTTGGGGCGGCCGACGTCTTCGAAGTCGGTCGAGATTAATAAAATAAAAAATTATTTATGGCACCCCATGGAAGTCCTAAGTATTGTTCGTGATATAAGAAATAACCTCGGCCGACTTCAAAGACGTCGGTCGCCCTAAGTATGGGTTATGATATTTAGGGCGGTTGACGTCTTCGAAGTCGGCCGAGATTAATAAAATAAGAAATTATTTATGGCACCCCAAGGAAGCCCTAAGTATTGTTTGGGATATAAGAAATAACCTCGGCCGACTTCGTAGACGTCGGCCGCCCCAAGTATCATGAACAATACTTATAACTACTTTCCTTCTATAACATTTTGTCATATCTCCGACAGTAGTCGAGATATGTTGTGACAACAAAAATCAAACACACTGTTGATGTTAGTTATGGGATATGTTTATTAATTTGACCAATATCAAGGTTGAAATAAATTAATTATTTAATCGAATCTCAAAAATTCGATACTTGTAATTTATGTGATTGAAATTTTATATCGAGATGACTATGATGATTATATTGATTATAAAGGCACATTCAACATATTTATGGTGTATCATTTTTTTAACAATTTAAATTTTCAACTCGTGCTCATGCGCAATAAAAATTTATAAGCGCGTTTTTAAATTATCGATTTATTAAGGTTAAACGATAAATACCTCACAATTAATCCTATTTATATGGTAAATTGGGCAACAATAAATGAGATTAAAAAAATCACGACGAAAACAACAATCGAAATCGTTTAAACGTGTGAATATAGTTGCATAACCGTCACTTATGCTGGAAAACTTATTTGTCCACTGTAAATAATATGGCCATACGAGACGTGTCTCTCTGTGCGAGTTCGTTTTGCTGTAAATAGACACTAGATTTGAAAGGGATTTTGCCGATTTTTTCGTCTACACTCAAAAATGGCAAACAACATACAATACGGTAATGAACGAACAAATAGTTTAGAAACTGAATATGGCATCGACCCAGCATCAGGGGGCTTCTTTCATGTGGACACCAAAAAGTACTGTTTCTCGTACACGAAAACTTTATGTTTCTTACTTATTCTTAGTTATTTTAGACACGAGGATCTTAAAGAAATGCTCGATTCGAACAAAGATAGCTTAAAACTAGAAGCAATGAAGCGTATCATTGGGGTATGTATTTTTATACTTTTGAATAAACAACTATGATTCAATTCAACATACATTTAATTAGTCGTGTAACTTTTCTGTTATAACAAGGTTATTATGCAATAAATCATTTTAAAATATTAAAAATTAATAAACTTAGTTGTTTTATGTGTTAACTTTCATTGTTTCTCAACGTACACACATAACTTGTATTAATATATTTAAAGTGATATAATATAATATTTTTAAAGTATTATCAACTTTTTAGATGATTGCAAAAGGTCGTGATGCCTCCATGCTGTTTCCAGCTGTGGTGAAAAACGTTGTCTCAAAAAATATTGAAGTAAAAAAATTGGTGTATGTTTATTTAGAACGTTACGCAGAGGAACAGCAGGATTTGGCATTACTCTCGATTTCAACATTCCAAAGAGCGCTAAAAGAACCAAATCAATTGATACGCGCCGGTGCTCTCCGAGTATTGTCTAGTATACGGGTTAATGTGATAGCACCCATTGTAATGATAGCGATACGCGATGCAGCTCAAGATATGTCTCCATACGTTCGAAAAACTGCCGCGCATGCGATACCAAAACTTCATAGTCTTGATAAAGATACAAAACCTGAATTAGTAATGATTATTCAAAAATTGCTTGCTGATAAGACAGTCTTAGTGATTGGATCTGCTGTTATGGCGTTTACGAAGGTTTGTCCAGAACGAGTCGACCTTGTACATCAAGTATACAGGAAATTATGTAATGTTTTGGTTGACGTTGATGAATGGGGGCAAGTTATTATTTTGAACACATTAACGAGATATTGCAGGACACAATTCGCTGACCCAAATATTCATGTAAGTTAGCTTAAAAAATTTTGAAATACATTTTTTTACTTTATCCAATAATAATCAATTAGGAGAAAAAGCAAGTTGGAAAATCTGGAGAAACAGACTCTGATACTTCAGACAAACATTCCGCCGGGCCAACATTAGACCCCGACCATCGCTTACTTTTAAGATCATCACGACCTTTGTTACAATCACGCAATGCGGCGGTCGTCGTCTCAGTAGCACAACTTTATCACCATTGCGCACCTTCAGCTGAAGCCCAACTAGCTGCTAAAGCCCTAGTAAGGCTATTGAGCTCCCACAACGAGATCCAATGCATCGTATTGGATTCAATCGCTTCGATGAGCTACCAAAAACGAGGGATGTTCGAATACTATCTCAAGCATTTTTTTGTACGAATGTCCGAACCCTTGCGAATAAAACTGCTCAAATTAGACGTCCTTACCAATTTGGCTTGCGATTCAAATGTCAGCTTAATATTACGTGAGATGCAAGCGTATTTATCTTGTAGTGATAAAGTGTTTGCTGCAGCTACTATTCAAGCCATTGGAAAATGCGCTTGTCGATTGGCCGATATTGCTGATTCTTGTTTAAATGGTTTGGTCTCTTTACTTTCAAATGGAAACGGTTTGTATTTTATGATTTTTTTGCGAACAAAATATGCTGGTGGAAGTTTTTATTTGACTTGAATGAGTTGAAAGTTTTTCATTATACCTAAGTATTATACAGGGTGTATCTGAATGACTGCAACAAACTTCAAGGGGTGATTCTTTAGTGAATTTTAAGGGTACTTTGATATATGAACCATGGGCGACTTCGGCCCCCCTTCAAAAATAGCGGAAAATTTTAGTTTAATTTTTTTTTCTCAAAAACCATAAACGCTAGGAAAATGAAATTTGGGGAATATGTTTACCTCATAATAGGGCACGTTTTGATCCTATTTGTACTTTCAACCTACCCTTCTAAATTATTAAACGTAACCACCCCCTTTACATTTTTGCTAGTATTTTTTTTATGCAGATGATAAATACATTAAAAAAATTTACCTAGGTAGATGAAAGTATCCTCAAACTTTTTTGTCTCTCTAAAATTTTTCCAAAAACGACTAATTTTTGAGAAAAAAAATAATAAAGCAAATACTGCACGTTAAAATCGGGGTTGTCGATCAAAAGTTGGAATGAATTTTTAATGAAAAAATCTTAGTAGGCTCTGTAATCTTTGACAGAAATATTTTTGACGTTTAAATGTCATTGTTTTTCTTACTATTATAATTGTTTTTCAAATTAATTTTAAATAAAGTTCTATCGCATTTACGCTCGTTCACTCGACGTTTCAAAATTTCAAATAAAACAATAATAATAGTACGAAAACCACTGACATTTAAACGCCAAAAATATTTCTGACAAAGATTGCAAAGCCTACTAAGATTTTTTCATTAAAAATTTTCGATTAACAACCCTACAGCTTAACAGTTAGTGTTTGCTTAATTATTTTTTTTCTCAGAAATTATTAATTTTTCGAAGAAAATCAGAGAGACAAAAAAGTTTTAGAATAGTTTTATCTATCTAACTGAAATTTTTTCAATGTATTTATCATCTTCATAAAAAGATCTAGGCATAAATTGAACGGGGGTGGTTACGTTTAGTAGTTTAGAAGGGTAGGTTGAAAGTACAAATAGGGTCAAAACGTGCCCTATTATGAGTTAAACATATTCCCCAAATTTTATTTTCCCAGCGTTTATGGTTTTTGAGAAAAGAAAATTAAACCAAAATTTTCCGCCATTTTTGAAGGGGTGTAGCTCCTCAGGGAGGCCGAAGTCGCCCATGGTTCATATATGAAAGTACCCTTAAAATTCACTAAAGAATCTCCCCTTGAAGTTTGTTGCAGTCATTCAGATACACCTGTATATTATGCTTTTCTGGTGCAATATGAAGAATTTTTGTTTCGAAAGCAACAATTTTAAACGAATTAAAATTTCAATTGGAAATAAAAAAGTACAAAATAGTAGCAATTAACAAAAATCATGGTTCGTGAGAATTTTCTTGCAGGAACCTCTTCTCACTGCTGTGTAGGAACAAAAAAAATGCATATCTCTTCACCCCTAGGATATCCATGTAAGCACCACGGAACAATTTCATCAAGTAGCCAGAGGAGAACATCATAATCAACTAAGGTTTATTATATTTTCCGCCCCCTCTTCTATATTTTGAAATATAAAGCGTAAAAAGCTGAAATTTTAGAACAAAGTGTTGTAAAAACCTATGCCTTTTAAGTTTTTTGGGGTGAAAATTTAGGAAATCATATCAGGGATATTTCTACGAAAAATCTGAGTCAAATTTTTATCAAAAATGAGCCTGAAACTAGTCATCATGTTGTGGCGACTCTCTGAACTTTGTGGATCCTACTATTAATCTGCTTGAAATTTATGGCAGAAATAATTTAATAAAGCCCCAAGTTTCTTGAACAGTGCAATAAGTCTATAACCTATTTCATACAATATTTTCAGCTTATGTTACATGTCTACAATACAACAGCGCGGATTTTAATCGCTACTCGCAACTCGTCTTATGATTATAATTTTTGGAAACATTTTGAAAACTTTTTTCATCAGTTTTAAGCAAAATGGACTTGGTCTTACGATTCAAAGTGTTATGGTTATTGGAAGCGGCCGACATCATCGAAGTCGGCTGTGGTCAGTATTCTGGCAAAACATACTGTGAGATCAGGAATTTATCAGTGCCTTGATACAAGATTCATGTTAGAGAAAATCTTTGTTCGGCGGAGATTTCTTAAAGGATTGTTCAAAGACCAGTTTTTCACACAGAATAGAAAAATCATAGTCTAGATACATTCCTATTGCTTTTCTGATTATCCTCTGGTAGTAATGGTTATTACTGACTAGTATGTAGTTCTCTGTAACTTCGGTTTAAGATGAAATTGCTTCACTCTAAATCGTCAAACATAAGACAGAGTTAAGCTACAGACCAAGTATTTTGGGTAATACTTAATATCTTCAAGATCTCCACAATGATATTGTAGGTTAATTAGAGGAGATATCAAAATACGCCTGAAAATGATTCAATAAATAATGACTTACCGGGAAAGTTAATAAAAATAAAGTCATCCACAATGATTGTTTGTGTTTTATTTGTTTTATTAAAACAATAATTATTAAATGATAAAAAAGATAAAAACGAACCATTTTTAACATCTTCAAGATGTTGCAAATAAAAAGGACCACCTGTATATTGTACAAAAACATCTTTATTTTGAGTGCAACGCCCCATAGACGTCAATAATCGAACTAAAACAACAATTTGATTATCAAATTATTCGTACACGTAAAGACAATCCTTACTTTAATTAATATTGCACTTAAAAACTAGATGGCTTAAATGCATAACTATGATATAATAACTCACCGCAATTTTGTTCGCTACCACAATAATTTTCTTTTTTATATATATATTTTTTTTAATAGAGGCGATTGTTGCTGAAAGTGTAATCGTGGTAAAAAGACTTTTGCAAACCAAGGCAGCGGATCCAAAAGAAATAATAAGACAGATGACCAAATTATTAGATAGTATAACAGTTCCAAATGCTAGAGCTGCGATACTATGGTTGCTAGGTGAACATTCGACAGTTGTGCCGTTAATAGCACCGGATGTCTTAAGAAAAATGGCGAAAACGTTCGTTGATGAGACGGACATTGTAAAATTACAAATATTAAATTTAGCTACGAAGCTCTACCTCACAAATAAAACACAAACTGAGCAATTATGTATTTATGTGTTCAATTTGGCGCGATATGATCAAGATTATGATATAAGAGATAGAGCACGATTATTAAAACCGTTTGTTCAAGAAGGGAAATTAAACATTTTATCGCGACGAGCGGAAGAAATATTTTTAGGGCCGAAACCCGCTCCTCAACTCCAATCGCATTTTAAAGATCGCGAATATTTACAGTTAGGCTCATTATCGCATTTCATAAACCAACCTGCAACCGGATACGAACCTTTACCATCGTTCCCAACGGTTCCCCCACCCGGAAACGTTCGAGACGTTGAAGGTGAAGAGCAAAAATCCGAGAAAAAAAGACCAGTATTTTGGAAAATGCCATCTTCTCGGCAAAATTCGCAAGGATCGGAATATCTTGATTCGGGAAGCTCTTCAAGCGATATTTCTCTTGAATCAAAAGGTGAAGAATCTGAGTCGAGTGAATCAGCATCTGATTCATCTAATGCGTCTTCGTCGGAAGATAGTTCTTCATCCGGATCGAGCAGCGAAGCCGAATCGGAATCCGAACCAGAACGTAACGAAAACGTCGTCGATATTTTATCAGAACCACCTCCAAAAACGTCGAACCACGTGGGAAATGAAAAAACCGAAAAAATTTCATCCAATTTCGATTTATTAATTGATTTAGATGAAGGTGACACGTTTACACCGGTTTTAAGGCCAACTAATTTTCCAACCGTTTCGTTAACGGACGCAATCAATCAAAATACGCCGCCTCCTACTATTTCACCTAAATACTATCCGACTAATACGTTTGAAATCTTGGATAAAATTAGTGGACGCGGACTTCACATAACATACAAGTTTAGTAGATCACCTCATGTTTACTCACCGCAAATGGTTAATTTAATTTTGGTTTTTACCAACACGTTAAATGAAGATATTACTAACATACATATAGATCAAGTAAGAAATTTTTTTTATTATTGATTTTTTGGTAATTCTTAATTTTTTTATTTTAGAAACTCGTACCTGCCGTTACGATAGCGAAATTTTCAGCTATTGAAACGTTAAAGCCGGGATTAAGTGTTCCTGTTTATTTAGGAATTGATTTTAATGATTCTTTATCGCCGGTTTCGCTTGATATTATTTCATCTCTAGGTAAAAATTGTTTTTTTCAATCAGTTATTTATAAAAAAAGAATTTAAAACATTTCTTTGGGTCATCATCAGCCGAATCTATTAATGAGGGGAATCAGCGATTGTGTTCTTCACCTCGCCCAGCTTTTTGACTCCATCTCGGCCGACTTCGAAGACGTCGGCTGCCCCAAGTTAACAAACACCAACTTCTTTTTCCTATAGATTTTCTCATAAAAATGCATCATTTTGTGACTCTTCTTGCACCGGCGTTCTTGAAGCATGTCGATATCACACATTTAATTTTTTCCATAAATCCAAGATTATTTTGAAAATTTTGGGAAGGGCGCAGTGGCAGTTACCAAGTTACTCAATCCGCCCGATAATTCGACTGATGTAAAAATTGTTTTATTCAATCAGTTATTTATAAAAAAAGAATTTAAAACATTTCTTTGGGTCATCATCAGCCGAATCTATTAATGAGGGGAATCAGCGATCGTGTTCTTCACCTCGCCCAGCTTTCCGACTCCATCTCGGCCGACTTCGAAGACGTCGGCCGCCCCAAGTTTAACAAACACCAACTTCTTTTTCCTATAGATTTTCGCATAAAAATGCATCATTTTGTGACTCTTCTTGCATCGGCGTTTTTTCCATAAATCTATGACCATTTTGAAAATTTTGGGAAGGGCGCAGTGGCAGTTACCAAGTTACTCAATCCGCCTGATAATTCGACTGATGATAATCTAAAGTGACCAAAAAAGAATTTTTTTTAATACCAAATTTTTTTTCATAAAAGGAACAAATACAATTAGTTTAAAACCAACGATTGGTGAGTTGTTAAGACCAGTTGCGATTTCTTTACAAACGTTTGAGACTCATCAAGGAAAATTGAAAGGAATGAATGAGCATAGCGTTACTTGTAATATAAATAATGCCATTGATGTTTGTCAAAAAGTGTTTATGGAGGCGAATGTTGATATTGTACAAGGAAACCAAGATAGTAATGTTTATAGGTATATAAAATGATATTTTTGGTGATTTTAATTGACTATACATGTATTTTTTTTGTAGGTTTGTTGGTGAAACTTTAAAATCGAAATCTTTGGTACTGATACAAGTAACTGTAGATAATAGTGTGTCGATAAAAGTCAATTGTGAAAAATTAGTGGTGGGGTCAATGCTACTCAACGAGCTGAAACAATCGCTGCAACAGTGATCGTATTTACGTGAATATCTCTACGTTCTTGTTATATTTATTTCGAAAAGAACGATCCTTTGATTCTTTATATCTTGTTATAAGAGTTCTCTTAAGAAAAAAAAATCTCTTGTGATATAAATATTCCTTAATCGGAAGTTTGTATTGCTATTATGTTATTATCCGCTATAAAAAAATTGTATTTAACATTTTGATACGTATTGTAAAGAAATATACTATATAAAAAATGTTATAATAAATTCTATAAAAACATTTTTTTTTAATTATTTCAAAAGATTTGACATTTAGTAACTTTTCTCATACCAACATGACTCGATAAAATCACTACGTCCTTATAAATTAAATGACCCAACATTTTTCAAAATCAAAAATTTAAGAACTACTCAGTCTAATATGAATAATTGAATGAATAATTAAAAAGTTATTACATTAATAACTTTTTTTTGAATCATTAATAGTTGAGCTTTTGTACAGGAGGTGGTTATGACATGCCGTTTCGCATTTGTTTTTCGATTCACGCGAATTTGACAGTTCGACCACAGAAATAAAACATTATTTTAATATGAAATCGTATTTTCGGCGGCGTTAGCCGTTATTTAATTTATTTATCTACGATAGAAGACGAAGAAAGAACCGAATTTCATTTAAAAATTTATGTTGTGATAAAGTTAGTTTTATTAAAGGTTAAGTTCCAAAAAATACGATGGACCTCAAAGAAGCCCTTCTGCAAACTGTAAGTTGCATGCTAAGTGCTGATAACGATGTTCGAAGGCTTGCAGAGGAAAGACAGAAGGCTTTAGAAGTAACAGATGGTAAATTCGCGTTAAAATTTTAAACTTAACCTAACTTTTTTATTTATTTTTTTTTAGATTATAGTTTACATTTAGCTGAAATATTATTAACCACTGATGAAGCGTTAGAAGAGCGCCAAATGGCTAGTGTTTTATTAACAAAGTATATTAAAACACATTGGAGACAAGGAGATCCTTTTTTTATAGAACCCGTTGTTGCTGATACAATCAAAAAGAAATTACGTAGTGTTTTACCCACGGGTCTTTCAGATAATATTCCTAAAGTTCAGAATGCTGTAGCATCCACGTTAGCTACAATCGCCGTTTATGATTTTCCTAATGTTTGGAATGATATGATAGCTATGTTAACTTGTAAATTATCATCGCAAACTTCTAATGATGTTGTTGGAGGTCTTCATTTTTTAAACGAATTCACTAAAGTTGCTTGTAGAGGTCAACTTATATTATTAACACCAAATATTTATGAGTATTTATATAAAGTTTGTCAAAATGATATGGTAAGTCATTTAATTCAGGTCAAGGTATTATAAAAAAACTATAAATGTGATGTATCATTTCGGAAATATAAAAAATATTGTTTGAATAAGAATTAAAAAAAAAAACGACAAAAGAAACAATCAATTTAAGATTTATTTTTGTTAATTTTAATGTTGGTACAAGAAAAACGCCATTGAAGTTCTCTCCTTGATGTTACTCTAAATTTTATGTCTAATTTAGCCATCATAATACTTCCTATAACTGCAGGATAGGCGATAGACGCCCGCTTTGTTTAATAGGGTCAGTTTGATATCATCAGGCACCTTGCAATCCGCTCTGTCACACCTGAAACATAAGGGAGGCAAATAAATCCTGCTGGTGTAGTACTTACCATGTCTTTTCTCTGCCTTAGAGTATAAATGGAGTACATCTTCTAGAAATTCTTCAAATTTTTTCCATCGCATATCATTTCTGCTTGTTAAAACAAGGCGTACTTCCAATACAAACCCAATTCCATCATCATCATGTTAAAGTTGATCATGGGATGTTGCGAGTTCAGATCTAATAATATATATAATCTTTGAGGACCTAATACTTTTGACTGAGCATTCGGGTTTAGTCTCAATTCTAATTTTAGTTGTTATTCAACACCATGTTGTTGGATATTTTTATTAAAAACAGCTGGGAATTCAACCACATACGGAAGATGCTACTAAACGCAACGAAGTCTTCTCCACTCGGATTTGACAATCTTTATTTCCAAGTATCCGACCGAGATTATTGTTCATGATATTTAGGGCGGCCGACGTCTTCGAAGTCGGCCGAGATTATGTCGGAAATTATTCGGAAATTACTTCTAGGACATTGGCCGCCCCAAGTAATGTCCATAATATAAGAAGAAAGCGTAACAAAAACTTGTGCGACCATTTTTAATACTTTATTTTATATTAACGTGTCATTTATAGTTTTTTATAAATACTAATATGATGTCTGCGAAAAATATAAATACACAATAATTATTTTTTATTTTAGTGTGTTACCTCAAATCGATCGTTGGCTATATCAATAACATCAATGTTAATACATACGGATTATACCAGTAATCGTTGTCGCGAAGATACGACATTAAACGCAATAGAATATTTTTGTGATTTATTAATAACTATTTTGTACCAGCCGTTTAGTGATAAGGTCGATTATTGTTTAAAAGCGGAAATTTATAGGTTTCTATTTAATGTTTACTTGTATTTACCGAATATGATAAAAAAGGCTGTCCAACGATTAATCCCGGTTACGTGGGAAATTTTTAATAAGTGCCAATCAGCTTACACGGCCGCCGTAATGGACCCCAACGCCCTGGATTTTTCCGGACATCACGGCGACTTATTAGAGCTCATATGCAATTCGTTGCGCATTTTTCAAACGGCCATCTTACAGGTGGACTCGGGTAAAGAGTTCATATACAAAAATCTTCCAGAGGTACTTTGTAAATTTATTGTGTTCATGAGTGTTACCATTGAACAAGAAATGCAATGGTTTGATGATGAAGAAGCTTTTTATAACGATCATTCAGGAGATTCTATTGAAAATAACGTACGATTATATGTTAGAAAAATATTTACGGTAAATTTTTTATTTTATTGTTTATTCTGTTATCACAAATAATTCGTTTTAGACATTGGTTTTTACTGTACCAGAAAATCATTTAGTACCAGCAATAGATATACTAATAGCTAGAGTATTAGAAGAAAGTTGTGCAAAAATTGAGAATGTAACTTACTGGGTGCGTACACAAGAAAGCTTAATGTATATGATACAAACAATCTACGAAATTTATAATAAAGATGATAGAACTCCAGTCGGAATAAACATCAAACCTCAACTAGCCATGTGGACAAATTTGCTTGAAACTAACTATGCCAGAGATCACGTTTTCTTCTACGTTCGCATCGTACTTTTAGGCGGCACTTTATCCAAATATTTAGAACGCGAAGCGCTCATATCACACGTCAATGTCATTTTAAATAGTTTACGAACTAACAATAACGTCGTTAGAATGGCTGGATTAATGTAAGTATATAGTGTGTTGCTCCACATTTAATAGCCGAGATTCTTTCTTCCATACATTTCAAGCAGGTTAAGGGAAATAATCTCGACCGACTTAGAAAACGTCGGCCGCCCCAAATATCATACAATATAATAAGATTACCCTGCTTGAAATTTATGGAAAAAACAATCTCGGCCGACTTCGAAGACGTCGGCCGCCCTGGGTATTGTTTATGATGCTTGGAGCGGCCGACGTCTTCGAAGTCGGCCGAGATTATTTCTTCCATAAATTTCAAGCAGGTTAAGACTCAGGTTAATATTTGCGTAATAACGTTAAAAAATTATTTTTATTCTTTTTAATTAGTGCCCTGGAAAAACATTGCCAAGAAGTGAAACGTAGTCAAAGATATGTTCAAGAATTTACGCAAAATTTAAAAAATATTGCCGAATGTGTTGTTAATGCTCAAGATTTATCACCAAGATTGTGTTATATTATGTTAAAGTGTATTCACGCGTTAATAGAAGTAAGATATAATTGTTTTTATAATGTATTATCCATCAACAAGATTATGTATGTACAGTAGAACTTCCAATAATCGATGTTCCATTGTATATATCATCAGTATTAGGCGACGGTTACTTTGATAAGAATTTAGTGTTGTGAAACATTTTTTTTGAACTAAAGTAACCGCCGTCTTATGAAAAACTAGATTATTTTAACTTGTTATAATTCAGTTTGACAGCACATCAGTCCCAGATTTATTAGAAAAAATTGTTCCTTTATTACGAAATTACTTTTGGAAGAACCTATCATTTCCTGGTTTTAGCGATTTGTATTTTAAAACAATTTCGGAGCTGAGTAAAAATAGTTTGTGTATTGGCTACATGCAAGATATTATGTTTCCGGAAATTATTAAAGTAATCGTCGGCGAACCGGATAAATGCATCGACGTTGAATATCAGAACGTCGCCTTGCACGTTATTAAAACAATTATTGAACACGCTCCAGTTCCTATTAATCAGGGATTAATTGAAGAGAGCTTTAATTGTATGTACAGGATTATTTTAACTTCAAACGAATGCCTCGCTATATCAGTGAGTATATTTATTTAATGTATTAATGACTTAAATTTTTGATATTTATTTTTTTTAGTGTGCTACCGTTTGTATTTGTTATTGTATAGCAAAAGCGCCTAATCAAGTGTGCGCAATTAGAAGTAGTTCGGGAAAAACCGGGCTAGATTTTGTAATGGATATAATAAAGCACATTTTAGACCCGGGAATGTCAACTATAGTTTGTAAGGCAGCCGGACGCGTATGCTTGGCCACATTAAAATATTTATCAAACGCCTTAACGCCTCAACATTTCGACTGCATAATAAAATCAACGTTAACACGAATGAACTATTTTAAACATCATTTCAACGATGGGTTATTGATCATTTTTGTTTACTTATTTCACGTTCACACAGACACATTGATCAATACTCTGAGCGTTATTCCAGGTCCTAATGGAGATAGTGCCCTCGCTTATATTTTACACAGGTGGATTAAAGCGAATGGATTATTTTTAGTGAAATATGAACTTAGATTAAGGTAGGATTAAAACTTTATTACTTTTAATTTTTGATGATTTTTCTTTATTAGTTTATTTGCTCTATCACGCGTGATGGAGTACGCCTTACAACACAATAACCACCAATTATTTAATTTTACAATCCCGCACAAGAAAGTATTCAAAGGTTTTTTTCCGGAAACCGTTGATGTGCCTTTATTGGCGAAAATTTTAGAAATACTCTCGCTTTGCGTCTCGTGCATAGGAACGGAGAATACCGAAGAAACGTCGCGTGCTAATAATGATAACGAAGAGAATGCTGTTTATGAAGAGGATAACGTCGGGGTTGAAGATTACGACGAGGTAATTAATTTTAAATTAATTAAAAAAGCGATTTGTTATACTTTTAAAATATAATTTTTAGCCAAATATTGAAGAAGAATCGTTTATTTTGGATCCAAATTCTGACGTTTCCTTGGACAATATGATATTCGAAGAATATATAAAATTTGATAGAATCGATGGTTATATCGTTGATTTTTTACGAACCGTTTCGCAAACGCCTACGTATCCGACGTTATTAAAGTTCTTGAATGAGAATGAAAAGATGCTCTTACGCAGGGCAGGTATCAATGTTACCCAATAATAGAAAAACGCAGTACAAAAATTTTTTTATTTATGTAGGTTAATTATATAATTAATATGTCAGTTATTTAAAAATAGAAAAATGTACAGTCAATTAAGTACATAGGGCGTCGCGCAAAGATTTTTTGTAAACTTTGATGTAGTTTAGGGAAGATATTTGCTAGATAATTTGTATACAAAAGTCTGTAAATTTAATTGAATTACTTAAATAAGTGTTAGCAAGTTGTAAATACATATTCATAATTAGGCTGTAAATAATGAATTAAAAAAAAGAATTTTTTTATATAAAAACAAACCCGTGCGCGATGAAATTGTGATTTATATCTAAACTGGAGATCCAACATACTATTTTATACTTTTATCGAATTGTAAAGAACGGAATAGATGTATACACACGATTTTTTAGTGTTGTATTGAATTTTGTTTTTACGAACAACTGTGATAAGTAGATTTCGTTATCTAGTTTCGTGATTTATTCCAAACATCACCGTGGTTCGAGGATTATCCGAACGCGATTCAAGAGTTTTTTCTTTAAATATAATTTAAGAACACGTAACAGAAGACTGATGTCACAATAAAAAATAAAAGTTCTTTAATCATTTTTTTAATCCACGGAAACATTTATTTACCACGATTTCCAGTCCTTAGATTTAATTTTTCTTGTAATATAGAATATTTTTCTAACAGCAATTGTAATAATTACTTATAAATTTCTTTCGCTAAATATATATTTGTAATAAACTAAAATCAATCATTTTTTTAGAACCAAAGCTAATACTTTCCTGAAGTCCTACTTAGATGATACCCAAAGGAATACAACTTTATGCTTATGAGTATTTGTTTCTACTATCAATAACTAGGAAGCGCTAATAAAGACATCTGTAATGAAACAAAATTCAAATTCGAAACGTGGGATTAAGAAAATGTGTAAGCGATTAACATAAAAAAATCGTATTTGAAACATGAGCACGGCCGGTTGAAAACGTAAAATGCAAGAAAAAAAAAATAACCGCCGTTGTTTTGGGTTTGCGCGACTGAAATGCAATACGCCGTGTGTCGTTTGCGGTTAATGGCACAAACATTGGTACGGTTGTTTTGATGGTGATAAAAATTCGTTATTGGTGGTCTCCAAATATTTTGGCCGACCAATATATAAATAACTGCTTGTTTTTTAAAAATGTATAAATACTTAAGTTATAAATAAATGGTTGAAAACAATAACCTTTAGATAGCAAGATGATATTTCGATGGGTAAAAAATTTAAATATATATATATATTGATAAAAATAAAACAGTTTTTGAAGCAAACAAAGAATTCGTGCGTCCGTTTACCCTAGACCTTGCGAGATGCGAACAGAAAAAAAGAACAGAAGAGAGAAACGCCGGACCTCGGTAATTACCTCACAAACGGTTTTTTCTGCTGCTTAATTAGCCTGTAGTCAGCCTTGATTGTCGCGAAAAAGGCCTTTTGCGGGGCGGGCTTCGAAAATCGGTCGAAATCGGCCTCCGAAGGCGGAGCGTTGCGCCGATTAATGGGGGGACGACGAGGGGACACCTATATTTAGAAACAGCCTCGCGTTTGCTCCAAGGGATGCGTTTTCGCCCAGGTTGAGGACCCCTGCATTAGATTATGCTTCAGATGCGCCTCTCTCGGAGGTTTTTTCCACTCAGATCATCCAGAGGCGGACTCCACCTCAATGCTATTTATAAGAAACCACCATTAAATCCAAGAAAATAACTATCAACCAATCAACCGTATTCCTTTAATGTCATTTATTCTTCTATTGCAACCAATTAACCTTTGAGTAATTTTATTAAAATTGAAGTGGTTTAGAAAAGAAGATTTAAATAAACAAATTTTAATTGCATGCGAGTTATGTTGTGTTTATTGGAGTCGTGTGTGTGTGAGAGAGAGAACGAAAAATAGATACGTATAACAAAAAATACTTTATTCCGATCCTGATGAAGCTCGGACATCTCCTCCTCGAAGACCGAGAGAAAGCAGTTTTGATACCGAAAAATACAGAAACGCGCTGTCGGTAGGAAAAAACCTTACATAATAAAGCGGGGACAAACGTCATTAATTGCGCAAGCTGCTAATTTCTGTTGACTAGAAATCGGAAGGGGACACAGTCGTGTTTAGGCGAGGTTTTTCGAGATGAAGGACGGCGAAGGACGACTACGACGATTAAGGCGCGGAAAAATATGAGAATTTAGTAATAAATTGTTTAAAATAGGGATGCGATAAGGCCGGGTTTCGGTCTCGACTTATCACTGAAAGCTTTGAGAAAAACGCCGAGGAGCTGGAGCGGAGTCTGGATCGGAGAGCTTTTCTTTCTTATTGTTCCCGTTCGGGCTTTCGGCCGTCCGTTTTTGTTCCGTCTTATTTTGCTCCGGAGGTTCGCTTGTTGGAGAGGAGGCGCGCGGCGGCACAGGTGAAGACCATCGCCGATCTCTTTCTGACGGATGCTGCGAAGGCGCCTCCGTCTCGTTTGGTATCTCCCGTCGGCATCGAACACAACATCTCGGCGACGAAGAACCGAGAAGAGTAGAGAAGTGAAGAGAAGCGAGGAGATGGGAAGTAAAGAGTGGAAAGGAGAGGAGCGGAGCTGAGCGGAGAGAAGAGAAGAGGAGAAGTAGAGGTCCGGTCGGTCAGAGGTGCAGAGGAGAGTGAGATCAGTAAGAGAGAATGAGAGGGGCCGCGGTCGACGCGACGCCCACGTACGGGGGAGAGAGAGAGGGCGAGAGACGGATCGAAAATGGTGAATAATCCGTGGGTCCATCAGAGACGTACGTGGCCTTCGGTCGGGCTGCGAACGGCGCACCGCCGACGAGCGCAGACCGAGAGGTGAAAGTCCTCCTCCTATTCGGATCTCTTCGTTCAGTTTCATACCTGTGATCGGCTTTGAGGTGCTGCAACTAGTCAACAGTCAGTAGAGTATTAGTACGAAACACCTGTAGACGCTAGCATGTGATTCGACGGATCAGTCCCTGCAAGATCAACTCCGTGCGACGATGTATTGCGTCGGTTCGATGTGCAGTGAATTCCACGAGACGAAGGACGATCGCGACGCGGGATAGAGAGACCCCGACGTAGGTAACAAAACGAACAACACGCGTTTCGACCGAAAAACGGCCTCAAATGCCCTCTTAAACGTGAGCCGCGTAGACGTTCGCGGTTCGCCTTTAAAACCTCTACTAAAATCCATCTCCTCACAATAGTACCTGTTATTCCTACTCGAGCCGTCGGACCTGTTCTCCGACCACGACACCGGATCTGAAATCTTGATTCTCGAATCTCGTCTTCAACACCACATCCCCCCGTCATCAACCGTAAACACTTTTCTATATGATGTTTATACAGGACGGTTTTCAATTTCCTTGACGGCCGCGGAGAGTCAACGAGTCAACGACGTTGTTATCCAGTGGCCATTTTAAAATCGACGCCGCCAATCCCCGTATCGAAACTCCGCCAATCCGATCGTTTTCGACGACGCGAACCCGCGACGCATCCTTAATCAACGCGTAAACAAAAATGAACCGCATTCACTGTCCACCATCCGCGATTAAAGCAAAGTAAGCAAACCGGTCCAACCGCCCTTTCTGGAACCGTTCCTGTTCCCGTTGGCTTGGGGGCCCCGCGAACATATGCCCGTCAAACCTGTACCAACTTGTTGTCCCACGTGCTTCTTCAACCACAACAACAATCACACACTAATCGGGCCCACCCTCAAGGCCTTCTTTCATCGTCGGATACAACCGCATTAAAAAAAGGTCTTGATCAAATCGACGCTCATTTCCCCCCTTTTTAATCTCTCCGCCTGAAAGGTTTTTTTTAACCCTTTATCCCCTTTAGTTTTACGATCCCACACGATTGATACGTCGTAATAAGTTGAGGTCGAGATGATTACTATCTTTTTTTTTGTTTCTTTATTACTTTCAGACAATTTTCTTATATTATTTTATAGTCTTATCGAATTGCCCATTGTGTGGGGGTCTAAAAAGTTTTTCTGAAACATTATTCTTTTCGTTTCAGTTAATAATAAAAAAAATAAGAAAAAAAATCATCGCCGACAAGCCATTGAAGTGCCATAACGCCAAATAGAATCTCCTTATAGCTAAAACGAACCGAACAAGTGCAATATATACCCGAGAGATAGTGTAAAAGCTGTGATAACAAAAAACAAAAATAATGCTGAACTCGTCCCCGCACATGGAACAAGAGGGTAGTCGGATGATGTCGCCCGCACCTAATCAGACATCGCCAACGTCACGGTCGCCACGTCGCGACGCTCCGAGTCCGCCAACGATGCTCGCAACGATGACGCCAGTAAACGTAATGGAGCTAAAAAAGGAGATGGACGAGAAACGTGCCATGACTAGTTCGCCAATTTACCCTCAGGTGAAAACGGAAGTGATGTACGAGAAAGAGGACGAGATTTACGCCCATGTGGCGGACAAGAACGACGCGCCCCTGGACCTAATTTACGAAGACGGGAAGCAAACTGTTATTTACACGACCACTCCGGACCAGAAGGGCGTCGAGATCTACTCCGCCGATAATATAAACATCAACGCCCACGCAATCAGGGGTCAGCAGATCGCCGACGTCCTCCTCGACGGAAATTCAGGTGCCATAGTAGATGGAACTTCCAGTCCACTCCAGACCTCCCAGGGGACAGTCTCCGTCGTCCTGCAAAGTAACGGCCAAGGACTACTCCAATATCCACAATCCCAGGTTCCGGCTACCGTCTTGGTTCTCTCCGAGTTGGTCGAGGATATGACTGGCGTCCCGGTCGTTGGATTAAGGTAGGAATCCTGTAGAATCCTTTGAAACCGGTTTTTAATTGCTCTTTCAATCGACAGTTAATTCTTCTGATTGTACTCTGCTACGTAAAGGCCACTATTCCCTATTGCTAACCGCGTATTAAAGCTTATTTTATCAATTCGCTATTATTATCGGGATGTGATGTGGATTCGCCGCTTACTGTATGCTATTGAACCGGCGTTCTAAATTGGTTTTATCAGATTAATATGCATATGTGCGTATACGTCTATATCGTGTTTAGTACCCTGTCTGTAATGGTCCTTATCAAATCACGTTCATAAGATTAATGTGAATATAAGGCATATCATAAATTGTGGTTGTTATGTCTTCGAAGTGGTAATGAAATTTCAATTGTGGTTTTAAGAGGTCGGTTTCGCAGTCTTCAACTACGCACCACTACACAATACGTCGCCTATACCACAATAGTATTGTTAGCGGAGGTACATTTCTACCTCTTTTTTCCTTTTATTTCTGTAGCTTTTTATGGAAGTAGTTGTTTTTGTTAAAAAAAGGAGTGTTTTGACCTACACAATAGCTGAAAATGTTGAGGGTTGATGAGTACGAAATCGGTATTTATCGAAAGGTTTTGGACATCCCCCATATTTACGGGTTAGGTAGAGAACCTGTCCGATTATCTCTGACCACAGAAGTCACTTAGATTCTTCGCACGGAGACAATAAAATTACCATAAATTTCTTAAGTGGCCGTAATATTCCGATAAATAAGCGTCGGCCTGCACACCGAGGGGGAAGGAAAAATGACACGGGCGACGCGTACGGACTGAATGCTAATGAGATATAGAGAGAAAGCCGCGCCGATCGTTCGTTAGAAATTTGACAGTTTGACATTTGTTACGCAACGGCCTTATTTACGCCCGGGAGTTTTACTTCCTATTTAATTCTTGAATGATCTCGGCTCGTTCTTTGTCCAGTAAGGCGTACCAAGTGGTGAGGTGGGAGGCGGGGGGAGGGGACGATTGTCTCAAATTTCAAGATCTCATCTCCGCAGGAACCAAGGTTAAGAAACTCACAAGTTGACCCCTAGGCATTGGTTTAATAAGGGTTATATTCGGACGTGACTTCACGAAATACCGAAATGACCCTTACGCACCGGTGCGTTAACGTTTCTCGATCCTGTGAACGTTTCACCATTAAAACTAGGAATTTCCGTTAAACTACACGATCGCCGTAGACATTTCTGAGAGGCAGCTTACTGGAAAATTATTGTCGAGTCTAGTATAGCGCCGCACTCATCTGGCAGTGTCCTTGAGTCATAATTACGTAAAGCTACTTATTCGTTCAGTTACCTTTTGGCTACTGTTACCATTATCACCATTATCACTACGTTCCTCATTAACGTTAACATCTCTTCTTATTTTCAATTACATTTTAAGAAAATTACACTGCCATTCCTTTTAGAACCCGATCGATACTGAAAATACTTTTCCTTTATCGTCACGTATTTACGTTACCAATTATCGGGTAATGGTGTTTTTTAAATCGTACGTTCATTAATATTCGCGAAGTCTCTATAAACACGTCTATGAATCAACTTTTCTAGATGTCGCATTTTTCTTAAAACCGCTATTTATATTTTATCTTTATTATAAACCTTACGTAACACTTTCTGAATTTTTATTAATTTTACTTTCACGGCATCGTTTTTACGCAACTTTAATAATTAACGAATCTCTTTTATATAAACCAATCTCATTAATAAGAATGACTCACACTTCTATACAACATCTTCTATTAAGTTATTGTTGTTTTATTAGGTACTCTATTATTATTATTATTATTATATACAGGTGTACTAAAAATTCATCACATTCTGTTTCTATATATAAATATATTTTGGCTTTGATAAAAATTATTCACACCTGGTAGTTTTTGCTAAAATGCCTCAAATATCTTGGACAATACTTAGGGCGGCTGACGTCTGCGAAGTCGGCCGAGATTATTTCTTCCATAAATTTAAAGCAAATAAAAAGGAAAAATCTCGCCCCAAGTATTAATCATGACACTTGAGGCGGCCGACGTCTTCAAAGTCGGCCGAGATTATTTCTTCCATAAATTTCAAGCAGATTAAGAGAAAAAATCTCGGCCGACTTCGAAGACGTCGGCCGCCCCAAGTGGCATGATCAATACAATAAGTCTATCCTGCTTGAAGTTTATGAAAAAAATAATCTCGCTCAATGCTAATAATCGCTCTAAGTATTGATCATGACACTTGGAGCGGCCGACGTCTTCGAAGTCGGCCGAGATTACTTCTTATTTCATGAACCTAACTTGGGGCGGCCGACGTCTTCGAAGTCGGCCGAGATTATTTCTTCCATAAAGTTGTTAATGGTGTCCCTTAGGATTCGGAGATCACTGCCTGGACGTCGGCCGCCCCAAGTTAGGTTCATGATATAAAAAGTAATCTCGGCCGACTTCGATGACGTCGTCCGCCCCAAGTATTAATCATGACACTTGAGGCGGCCGACGTCTTCGAAGTCTTCGAAGATTATTTCTTCCATAAATTTCAAGCAGATTAAGAGAAAAAATCTCGGCCGACTTCGAAGACGTCGGCCGCCCCAAGTAGCATGATCAATACAATAAGTCTCTCCTGCTTGAAGTTTATGAAAAAAATAATCTCGGCCGATTTCGAAGACATCGGCCGTTCTAAGTATTGTTCATGATATTTGGGGCGGCCGACGTCTTCGAAGTCGGCCGAGATTACTTCATATATCATGAACCTAACTTGGGGCGGCCGACGTCTTCGAAGTCGGCCGAGATTATTTCTTCCATAAAGTTGTTAATAGTGTCCCTTAGGATTCGGAGATCACTGCCTGGACGTCGGCCGCCCCAAGTTAGGTTCGTGATATAAGAAGTAATCTCGGCCGACTCCGAAGACGTCGGCCGCCCCAAGTATTAATCATGACACTTGAGGCGGCCGAGATTATTTCTTCCATAAATTTCAAGCAGGTTAAGAGTAAAAATCTCGGCCGACTTCGAAGACGTCGGCCGCCCCAAGTAACATGATCAATACAATAAGTCTATCCTGCTTGAAGTTTATGAAAAAAATAATCTCGGCCGATTTCGAAGACGTCGGCCGTCCTAAGTATTGTTCATGATACTTGGGGCGGCCGACGTCTTCGAAGTCGGCCGAGATTATTTCTTCCATAAAGTTGTTAATGGCATCCCTTAGGATTCGGAGATCATCATGAACATCATGAACAATCCTAATGAATTTTGTAGAGAATACCAAATGATATTCCATTTGGAGATATCTAAGGGGTAACTGTACTAATTTTTATGTTTCTAGTTTGATCGATGAGTGAGAAACGGAGATTTAACGAACATAGTGATATCTAACAACATTAGAATATAAATACTATTTATCAAACTCATCATATTTTTATACGGAGAACCAGAATGTGCAATAAAAAATATACCACACTATATAAAATATTAGAGTTGTAGTCTTGTTTCCCACGCCGAATGTGGCAGAGATCTCAAAAATGTTTTAGGCATAAAACATCTATAATTTAAGATCAAAATGTTCCAATGAACCACTTTATCCGATTTATATATAGAAATAATGTGAGAAAGTTAAATATAACACCCTGTAGATGCATAACATAAAAAGAAAAATAATGGATCGAATGTTATTGATGAATACATAATAATGGAGAACTTTGAATATGTCATGGTCATCAGATTTGCAGTAAAAATAATATGTGTAACCTCTACCTTTGTTCTGACAATTAATCAACTAAGTGTGAATATGGTATATGGTTAGGTGAATATTATTGAAAGGGTTAGTTTGTACGTTGCAATTAGGTGTCGCGATGGTCGATTACCGATGTCGGAACAATGCCAAGCGACGGCGACCATTTTAAAGTCGGCAATTATCCTAGCGTTAAAAAATGGCGTCCACGCAAGAAACCGGTACTTTTCATTCAAGAAGACGAAATTATGTGCACCGCACGCGAACTCCATTGATGCACTTGTATTAGAACTGGTTGTGCCGTTCTAATAACCAGTTCAAGGCCGATCTAATGTTTATTTAGCCCCCCTTTTCTGACCATCTCCGCGTCAGACACCGATCATTTATTCACCATTATCGATAATCGATAATAATTACGCGTTAAGTATCGGTGAATCACTCAAGCAATTATACTAATTTGTTTACTTTGGTACATTTTTTCGTGTTAATTGTTTCTAATGAAAAAATGTGTATTAAAGATATCTCAAGATCTTTAAGCTTTCGAAAATATTTTTGGTTATATGCATATAAAGTGTGAAATAAATACAATTTGGCTTTGAAAATAGTTATTAAACGTGTTGTCTAAGTATAGCGTTAATAGTTTAGTTAGTAAAAGTTTTAATTATTTCGAGACGTTTATAAATTGTCCAATTCCACGCGCGCAGACCGTCACATCGAGGACGTTCGTAGGTCCTCGACTCTACTCGGCTCGGTTACAAGATTCTTCGGTCCGCTCAAGGGCAGACATACCAAAAACGGAATGGATATTTTTCAAAGTTCGTGACTCCGCGCGCTCGGACGTTTTTGTGCTCATGTGCGAGCCTCGCGCACGCACGCGCCCTTCGCGCTTAAGCTAACCCCCATCTCCCCCTCATCATCTCTTGTTACTTTTCTTCTTAGTATTCTCTTCTTCTTCTTCTTTCGCTTCGAGTGAATCCCCCTAATTCCCCGTCTCTTTCGGAATCTTTGTTTTGCTCCCGAACCGCGATCGGTCGAGGTTTAATTTAAAGAGGTCCGCGTGAACGTCGTGGGCAGTTGGCAGAGCAATGCCATGGGTGTGGTATCGTTGCGGAATATTTAAGCCGACAGAGACGGCGCTAGCGGAATATCTTCGTTAACAAATTGCCTCCTCTCGTAATTGCTTATACATACGCGATGGAAGAGAAATTCGATTTAATAATAATGACGTTAGGAATAAAATGAATTGAAACGTCATAATTTTTGGCAGGTA